GGGAAAGAGAATGTAACATGGAAAGTGCAAATATGAGAAACACAGGGCAAGGCTAATGGAGAGAAGTAGGGATGAGAGAAAAAGATAGATGGGAGGAATAAGGAGAAAAGAACCAGGGCTTGGCCAAAGGAGAGAAGGGTGTATTTTCTTTCTGAACCAGGATGAAGCTCGGTGTTGCTGCTGCAATAAGCTTTCCCCCTTGCGTGTTGTTTCAAGTAGTTTTAGAGCATGAAGCCTGTTAGAGACGAGGCGTGGCAAATCTTCAGAAGGGCCAAATACAGAACTGTGAGATGCAGGAAGGGCATTTAGATATGCCTTCCCCAAAGTGGAGCTACCGACCAGACATGCAGGGCTTTGGCTGGGGTGGCTGGCCTCCTGCAACCAAGGGTGCTGAAAACTTAACTTAGCATGAACTTTCCAAGGCACGGCTGCGCATCCCAAGCAACATTAGCTGTTAATGAGGACGGGGGAGGATGATCACAGGACCAGCCCCTCCAAGTGAAATTCATCCTCTGGCTCTTATGACCATTATTAGCAGCGCTTCCTCTGAGAATTTATACAGTTAGCTCCTTTCAGATTTATACACCCAATTCTTTGCGCATCTTTAACGGTTATAACGCACACACATGAATACAAAAATCAAATTCATTCGCACCCATATCTGCTCCCAGTTGAGTCAGTACTTACAGCCAAATCCTGTACTAGTTTCTCTTCAAAGGAATACTCCTCTGTTTCTATCCAAAATCTCTGATAGCCATGGAGGAAGAGGTTAATAGAGCGGTGCCTGAGCGGAAGGGGTGAGAGTGAGGTCAAGAGGGGTCCACGGGACACCTTGTTTTAGTTTGGGCGGTTAACGGTTAGTAAGCAGTTTTCGTACAATTCTTATCTTCTGATTGGTCAGGGTAGCCAAGAGCACACCGTAAGCATTTGTTTCAAAGAAACCAGAACCCTCTAACGTGGTGGATCCTGAATATCTGGTTCAAGACCTGGAGGTCACCATAACCCTCCTCCGGTCTCCTTGGGTCTTTATCATGTTTTCCCTATAATGAGAATTCATTAGGCCAAGGAACAGTCCTGAACTATCTGCTAAATATGGCAATTCGGTTATTCATTTTGGCTGATCACCCGTCCAGGTGATCCAATCTAAATCATGCTGATGGTGAGGGGGTTAGTCTCAGATGCGCTGAAAGCAGCAAAGCGTGGCTTCTTTACAGGGCCTCTGAGGAACCACAGCTGCAAGGCCTCCAGCTTCTACTCAGGAAGCAAAGCTTGGGCATGCTGCACAACTTCTGCGTGCTTCACAGGTTCTAGCTGTGGCCCTGGTATGTGGGAACACTGAATACACTGGCACAAGCCACTCACTCCCTATAGGACAAGATTGACGTCTGGGAATATTAGCCACTGAAGAGCCAGTAAGTGGTTACCCAAATGTGAGGAAAGGAGAGAAAAGGAAGGTCAGGACCAGAGTCATCGAGACCTGGTCATGGTTTCCAGTAGAACACAGCCCTTACCATCTTTCTTCAAAATCTGACCAATCAGAGTTTTTTAAAAAAATTGTACAAATTTGTGTTTTTATGGTCATGTTAAATCATGGTCAAGAAAGGAGGAGTGTGCAGAGAATGAGCGGGTCTCTCCACAGGTTACATTACCATTAAAATGAGTATAAGCCTGTCATACTGAGTTTTTTCATTAACCTTTTCCAGCCAAACCCGTTGAAAGGTGCTCAGGAAGAAATTGTTAATTTTGTGTCTGGGGAAAAGCATACAGGTTTTCTTTTAAAAACTCACATCAGAGAAACAGTTTCCATATGATAAAATAAATCCCTTTAGCCCTTTAGTTTGGAAGACTCCATGCAGTTTAGATCCTCATAAGATGGAGAAAAGGAGTGGGCTCCACCACTAGCTTCTTAGGTAGTTAGTTTTTATTGTCGTTATGAAATCTACGTATAAACCTCCATGCCAGGGAGAAATCCAGGACAACCCTCTAAGACAGCTGGGTTAGGGGCCGGGGTGGCCACGTTTCATCAAGGACACAGTGAATTCCTGGACTTACTATTATCCATACAGGGACAGAGTTGTTGAAGGAGCAACCAAAATATTAAAGGATGGTACTAACATTGTCAGTGGATTTAGAAAAAAACTGCTTGTTTTTGAGAGATGTGATTGCCGCCTAGCTGGCCCTGGAGACATGTGCTTAAAGCTGAGCCCTTCTGGAGGTCACACTAGCACATCAGGTATGGCTCTCTACCAGAGGGGAAAGCGAATGCCTTCTGATGTTTTACCACCTCTAGAAAACAGACAAAAATCCTAGGCGTTTTTGCATTTTCTACTGGACTATAAATTTCATTTGTCTGCCAGGACTTCAACAGGCTTCATGCCCATGACTTCCTGACTTAATTTTTCAGCTTTTTATTAATGAATTCTACTTGATTTGTGATGCCTCAACCTTTCCAGAGACACTAGTTTATTTTCTCAGGAGACCTGTAGGAGCAGGTGTGTGTCTCAGAGGCCATGATTCTCCACCATCTTCAAAGACCCTAACTAGGAGAGCTCAGCTGGCCAGCTGGCTCAGGACAGGGATATAGGACACTCTCGACAGATGATGGCCAAGATGCACAATTAGATGAAAGCAAAATGTCAAGCATAGGAATACTCTTTCATCTGATATTCCGAAGAAACACATTTATTTACATGGGATTCAGAATTTACTTGGCCAAGTCAGTTTATTTTTCCTGACCAGGTGAGGATGTTCCTATTGATTTGAAAGTTGATGAAGCAGTGGCTATTCAACTACCAGCTTTGTTTATGATCATAGGCTCAACCTTACTGACTGTGCAATTAGTCTGAGGATGGGAATGTTGCCATATCACCAATGACACTGAGTCAGCCTCAGTGGTCGACACTGGCCTAGTCTATACCGATGCTCTGCCCTATGTTGACACAGCATGTGCTCACACACAATCCAGAAAAGCCTTCACATATATTTGACTTCAGATTATAGACTAAACATCCAGGTAAAGGCCTCATGCCCATGACGGGTGCAAATGGTGAGCTGAGGCAGGCTTGGGGGCACGAAGGAATCTCATCTATTTTCAGTTCTTATGCTTACCTTAGCAGGCCATTACACTACATGCAGACTGTAACGGCTCTGTGGGTGAAGGGCTCCAATCTCTACCTCTGGGATCATGAGGGTCAGGGCCAGAAGAGAGCACAGCTCTGGGAAGATACCTTAATTCTCATCTCTGACTCACATGCCAGGAGAAAATGACAGAATACTTGCCTGGGCAGGTTGTAGAGAGGGGCCATCCTGAAACAGGCCACCACTGCCCGTTTCCGCTGCTTTGATAGCAGTTTGTGCCAGACCGCCTTCTTGGACCTCAAAGGCTGTTCCACCTAAGAAGAGATCACGTGGGTAGGTGCACACCAGGCTGATCTGGGGGGCAGAAGGTAGTCACCTGCAGCCCAGACTTCTCAACCCTAGAAGAATTTTGATTTCTCAACTGTAGTCAGCAAAAGGTACCCAGCACTAAATGATTCGGTCTGTGGGAGTCTTAGGTTTTCTTTCTTTTCCCAACTGCTTTTGGTGGCTTATTGCTTTACAAATGAGTAGGGAGCTTGGATGGGTCATTTGAACTAATGGGAAAAAATTTTCAAACACTGGGAATGTTAAGCATTGAGGAGCCTTGCTACAATGAGGCACCAAGATGACACTTTGGGGGTAGGCCAGGATGATCCTTGCTCCTTGCTTTCTGTCTTACAAGGGTGCTCTTAACTAAGAGCTGAGTGTGGAGGAGTTTTATATTTTGCAGGGTAGTCTTCCTTCCTCAATCCTCAGGGTAGACACTCCTTACCTGCTCTAGGTGGAAGACAGCTGCTGAAATTCTCTGCACACGCTCCACTGTCTTTTCTGGGTTGGAAGGTTCTTCACTCTTCAAAACATCCTTGTATAGGTTCAGTTGCCACTTTACAGCTGGGTCATCAGACTGCAAATTGAAGCATGTACATGAAATGAGCAATCTCTTATACCTCTTGAACTGAAAAGGCCTTTTACTCCTAGCATGGTTCCACAGTATTCCAGAGTCTTTTCTATGAATTCCTCTCTCATTTTCTCTATTATATTTTTCTGGGACAATGTAGACACTTTGTAGGAACTTCTCACTCTAGCCTATATGTCTCTTAACCCTTCTGTCATATTTCCCCCCCCCTTTCTCTCTGCTCTGCCTTACGATTCCCTTAAATCAAGCTTCCAATTCATAAATTCTCTTTGCAGCTGTATCTACTATATTTTTTAACCTATGACTTGAATTTTTAATTTCAATGATTATTTTTAATTTTTAAAAATCACTGTGAGGTCTTTTTCAGTGCCACCTCCCCTCTCCTTTTTAAAAAATAATGTCCAAGTCTTGCTTTACAGTTTACATTGCTGCCTTTATCTCTTTAAATATTTCAACCACACTTTAAAAATTCCTTTCTGTAGTTCCTTAGGCTTGAATTCTTCATTTCGTTGCATTTTCTGACTCTCTAATGGTGGTGATTTCCTTTCACACTGTATTTTTATGAGCTTGTATTCAGGAGGAGTTTTGTTGACTGGCATCTCAGCCCATATTCTAGCAGGTAGACACTATCTAAGTGGTTTCATGGCTGTTTTTACAGATGATTCATGGGTTTCACTGGTTCAAGGCCAGTTTTATGTACGTTTCTTGCTCTACATTCATGCACAGCATGGGAAGTTAGGCCCCACACTCCCGTTCCAGGTTACTAAAATCCCCAGCCCCTATAATATATATATCTGGTCAGGAGAGCTCTGCGAGTTTTCCCAACTGCATCATCTTCTCTTCATTACTATGATTTAGAGCACCTTCTTTTTTCTGGCACTTGGAATTTCTTTTTACTGCCTTTTTTGTAGTATATTTTACCCACCATTCCTACATATTTGGGATGGAAAGGAAAGGCTATTTGTGTCACTTTAATCTTCCATCTCAGAGCATAATATAATGTATCTGAGGAAAGAGTTGTTCAGATGTGCAGGCTTGGAAAAATCTTAAATAGCCTTGAAATCAAAATTGGTCTTGATTTTCTTTGTTTGTTTTTTTGGGTTATATCAACTCAGGTACAAAGTTACTTTGTTTACAAATCTCTAGAGCTGGAAGTGCTAAAACTTCCCCCAGGTGTCTGTTCCCCTCTTTAACAAACCTCACAGTCAGTAAATTCTGAGACCTAATCTAACCCCCCTGCTATGGCTTGATGCTCACACAGTGGGAGGTGGGAAGACATGTTTTACCGGGCCTCTCTGCAACAGCAAAGGAAAGAACAAAAATTAAGGGCCAAAAAATGAAAAATTAAGGGCAGAGTGTTAGTTCTACCAATTAAGCACAAGTACTCTGAGACTGTTTTTAGAACACATTTAAAAAAACATGAGTAAACTAAGTGGGTGGGTGGCACCCTGCAGCCAGAAGGAAACCTGTGTGAGTTCTCATTGTCTTCCTGCTGCATCACCTTTTCTTGCAAGTGCAAGTTATTCCACAGATGTTCCTTCACCTCTTCGTCTGTGTCCTTCTGTGGAAAGAGATGTTGAATCTTATTCCTACAGGTCAATGTGGAAATATAAAGCAGGGGTGCACTGAGGGCCAATGGACAGTTTTGCTGCGATCTTTACTACGAGGACAAAAGAATAGAAATGACAGAGACTCGTCCCAAAGGGCACGCGCTGACTCCGAAGTCAGCTGTAAAGACAATGGGGTGTTGGGACTTTCCTGGTGGCGCAGTGGTTAAGAATCCGCCTGCCAATGCAGGGGACACGGGTTTGAGCCCTGGTCCAGGAAGATCCCACATGCTGCAAAGCAACTAAGCCCATGCGCCACAACTACTGAGCCTGTGTTCTAGAGCCCACAAGCCACAACTGCTGAGCCCGCGTGCCGCAACTACTGAAGCCCGTGCGCCTAGATTCCATGCTCCACACAAGAGAAGCCACCACAATGAGAAGCCCACGCACCGAAACGAAGAGTAGCCCCCACTCGCCACAACTAGAGAAAGTCCGTGTGCGGCAACGAAGACCCAACGCAGGCAAAAATAAAATAAATTTTAAAAGATATATATATATATATATATATAAATGGTAAATTAAAAAAAAAAAGATCATGGCGCATTGCCTCTGTGCACCTTGGCACCTCCGTGTCCATTGGTCTCCGGGGACGAAGGACAAACCCTTTAGGGGCTGAGCACTGATCACCACCGCCTGTATTACATATGCTCCACCAAAGCAGATGGGCGACTTACATAGCTGTACCGTGATTTTGCGAGGGAGATCAGCTCCTGATCGCCTGGGGTGCACATATTCAAACCAATGGGCAGCATTTTCTTGAGTGCAGCCACGATGAGGGAGGTCTGGATGGAATACAAGTCCCCCCTCCGCTTCGTCTTCTTCCGCTCCTGGTCCTGTCCTCCAGACTAGGAGATGAGGTTGAAACAAACGGGTTGAGTGACTCTGAAAGGCACCGCCTCACCTTGGAGGCAGCCTGCCTCCTGTGGCCCCATCAGTACAGGGTGGGCCTTTCTATTAAACATTTCAGAGGACAGTAAAGCAGCATATGAAACAAAGACAACCAGGTGGCCCTTCAAGACCGGCCCTGACCCTGAGCCCTCTCCTTGTGCGCATGCTCACAGAACCACGTGACCAGACACACACCACGGACACCCACGGTCTCTGTTCGCTGACGTCTGGGCAGTACGAACAAACTGGTGTTTCTACTAAAAGACTGATTCGATAACTGACAAAATGACTGCAGAAGAGAACTGAGAATCCTGATGCTGGGCGGCAGTAAACAAGTGAAAGAGCATCTAACCCTAGAACAACTGCTCGTGGCCAGGGCTGAAGCGAGCCTTTTGGAGCACCTGCATCCCACTCAGCCTCTGCTCAAGGCAGCACACGTTCCTGCAGGAGAAGGGGAACCTCCAAGTAGATAGGGCTGCTTTGGGATCTGGCTGGGGCAGAGTTAGGAGAAACAGTGCAGACAAGTGAGGGAACGTCCCAGGTCTGGGGGAGTCTGCCCTCTTTTGGTTACACTTTCTCACCCCTTTCTGGGAGCGTTCATCCAATGAAGTGGGAGGTTTGAGAGAAGAGGCCAATGCACTAGGCTATGGTAGCCCCAGGCAACCAACTGAGGACCCTCTGCACCCACAGCACGAGGTGGGTATGGGTGGGCTCAACAAAACAAGGCTCTGTGGTGATCCGATTTTCCTGAGTCAGGTTCCAAAAGAGCAAAGCTGCCCATGTGGTATGTCATTTGCTGGACTCTGCCTCAGCTGAGTGGGCTCTTGCTGGAAGTGAGGAAGGGCTGGGTGGCCAGAGGCAGAGAATGAAGTCAGGGACCATGACGGGAGAATCGGGGCTCATTAAAGCTTTTGCTTTATGAGGTGCCTTCAAGCGTTTGCAGCATCCAGGCGGTCACGCTGTGGTTCACAACAACCCAAACACATAAGGCTCTGGGAGCAGGGAAGAGGCCAGATGCCTCCTCTGGAACTGGCTTGTAAGACCTGGGGCCCTGGGCTGGAACAGAATTTGTTTTGTGAAGGACTGGCTTTCTGAGAGAAGATTAAGTATGGTCAGAATTCACACCGTCTTGGGGCTGATCTCTTTAAATTACTTCCCAAAGTGTGAAGGAAGTCCATAATTATTAATGGACACTCTTAAAATAGTGGCGACTTCTTTTACCCAGCTTGTGGTGGCTAAACCTTCGGGTGGTTACACCACAGAAACCACAGTGAAATCCCTGGCCAGCAAAACCCAGTCTGACCAAATACTGCCAGACAACTCTACTTGTGCCTGGTGCTCCAAAACAACAGGTCAGATCCAGGACAGCAGTGGGAGGTGGCAGTGAGAAACATGAGAAGGGAGGGGGATGTGAGACAGACAGGCAAGATACACAGTGTCTTATGTTCTAGACACACAGTGGACGGCTGATTCACACAAAGACCTCAAGAGCTCTATCATTTACCGAGTGCTTGCTGGGTTCCTTAGATGTTCTATCAGGCAGAGAATTCTAAAGGTTGTGCCTAACGCAGAACTCATTTAAAGTCTAAATTACCCTTGAAAATCGTAAGGGTAATTTGTGAGGTTCTATCCTCAGATTGTCCGTAGAGGATAGAACCCAGTTTTGTGAATATAAATTATGAGGTATTGTTACATATACATTACATATAAATGTAAGAGGTAAATAGTAACATGCAGTATACAATCAAGGAAGTATGCAAAATAGAACTCTGTGGATTTGATACACAATTTAAATAATTTCTTCCTCACTATTTTATTTGGCCAATCTCACGCTGTTCTAACTACAAATGCTAAACATATGACGTGGCTCCAACGTGCCTGCTACTTAAATAAAGCATTTCTAATCCTCCCAACAAGGCTGAGATACCCAGTCAGTTTTATAAAGGGGAACATGACGTTCAGAGCAGTTAAGTGATTTTTCCAAGGTCACACAGCAGTTAAGAGTCTGGGCCAACATCCAGACCGACATCTACCTGGCCACGGCTCCATTTTCCTTTTCTAACTAAGAGCTGCACGTGACCTGGTTCCTGCACATCTCCCTGTCTCTGCTACAGACCTGAGTGCAGAGGGCTTGGGACAAGTGGCAGCAGACACGCATCAATGGAGGCACAGAGAAATATTTCCAAGCAATAACCTGTATAGGTTACTAGAAAATTGTCCCAGGGTTTATTCCGCTGTGTGCACATTTTATGCAAAAACTCATGGCTATTTCCAATCCTTGCTGCTGATTCCAAATCCTTGACTTTAGTCCTTGGAAAACTCTCTTTGACTCATAGGAGCCTTGCACAAGAGGCAGACATGTATAGTGTGGAAGGGCTGGGATCACTAACAGCAGATAAGAGGAGTGAGTCTCCCTGAGCTCTCAGTCCCAGTCAGAGTCCCTATCTGTTAGTGTGCTGGCTGCAGAGTGGGCAGCTGGGGAAGGGAGCAGAGATAGCAAGGAGACCTCGGATAGGGCGAGGCTTGGCTGGCTTCCCCGGCTTCCCCATTCCACGGGTGGGTAGGGCCTACATTCACTCTTTGACAGGCAGTTGTCTTCCCTGAAGCAGGCCCAGGGGACCTCCAGGTGGGAAAATCCATTCTGTACCACCCCCACGGTGATCACAGTGCAGAGGGTGGCCAGAGCCTGGCACCTCTAATACTAGGACAGAAAAGACACGTCATGCATTTGACCTGTACCTTTACTTGCATGGCCTGTGTGGAAAGACAAGAGAAAAGAAACAAGGAGAAGTCAAGTCAGTGAAAGCAGGGGTCCAAGACACAAGGCACCACATGAGAGTCACAGCTCTTTCACCCCCATTCCTCTGCCAACACAATAGAAAACCAACGGCTCTGGAAGCCCGTTGAGCACAGCATGAAGAGCGGGTGGGAGGTTAGGATGGAGGTTAATTGGATCAGAAGGACTTACACGCAGACCAAGCAGTGCATCCCTGGGGCAAGGTCATCAGAGACCAGCCTTCCAGAGTGTGTGACCCTCAGACCCTGGTGGTCTTCATATCTGGCCACCCAAGTGAACTCTTAGATCTCATGCCTTCCCCCGCTCCCACCTCCCTCCTGGCACCTGGGTGGGATGCAGACAATCTGTCATGTAACCAAAGACCCCAATTTTCTTTTTTCCTTCCGCCCACCACATTATCACCTCCAGAAGATCTGTGGTTACAAAAAGAGTAGGGAGAACTGAACTAAGGGGCCATGTGTGTGCTTCCCCTAAAAAAAGTTTCTAAAAAATGTACTCTAGGAATATCCAAGGTGGTTCAGGATCACCCCACAGCCCAAAGGATGGGGAATCTCCCTTCTGTGCTGTGACCTTTAAATATACCTTAGGTCAAAGGCTCCTACACGCTATAGGTTCTAATTTTATTCTTTTCTTCACATATTGCTAGGATTAGTTAACTCAATGCATTTCCCTAATGCTGGAAATGCTTTTATGTATGTATGTATGTATATATGTATTTATCTACCGATCTATTTATGCATCTTTTAAATGTTAGCTGAAACTTTTTATTTCCGAAACAGAAATCTAGAAATTCCTACACCTTCAAAATCATTTCATTTCCCCACACTATATCACCAATAGTTTATGACCAAATAGACAATTTATGTGTGAACTTTAAAAAAAAACAGAGACTCTTAAGGGAAAAGGAGTTGGAGGAGGACACAGCACACGGTGGGTGGTGTGCTGCGTTGAGACAGCACCCGGGGAGGCTTTGGAACAAGGGCAGAGCTGTGCCATCTGAAGTGCTCATCCCCACTGAGGGGGTAAGGGAAGCAGAGACCAGTCAACCCAACATTAGATGGTAGAGGGAAAGGTGAACGTCCAGAAGCCAGTCTGAGAATGAGAGAGCAAGAGGGAGAAAGAGAGTGAGACAGAGAGAAAGAGAGAGAGAGAGAGAGAGAGAGAGAGAGAGAGGCACCAAAGGAGGAGGGAGGGCAGTAAGAGAACAGGGAAGGGTAGAGGAGGGAGTGGTAGAGAGAAGAGGGGGAGGGGATGGGAGACAGAGAGATGAAGTGAATGGGGGAGGGGGAGGGGGAAAGACAGGGAGAAGAGAGAGAGAGGGAACAGGAAGGGGGAGAGAGAAGAGACGGGGGAGGGGGGCAGAGGGAGAGAGAGCACTTGAGCTACACAAGTGCAAGAGCAAAGGGAATACAAATGAAAGTGAAAGAAGGTGCGGGGGGGGGG